ACCTCATCAAATTTGGAACGTCGAAACGAAACGTCAGGCGAATAAAAGTATTGTACCAGCGATTGAATCGTCTTCTCCCCACTTACTTCCTGGGACTCGCATGTTCGCTTGTATTGGCAAACAGAGTATCATTATTGACAAAATAATGGGAGGCTGAACTGGCCAATTTCTGGCTTATTAGCCGTTATCAGCCAGTCATATCCTACACCAGGTGGTGCACCGACCGAGGCTCTAACCGTTGCGTATAATACGAGCCGTTGTTCGGCTACTGGCTGGGTCGAGAGTAAGCCCCAAGGCAGAACGGGACGAGTGAGTCTCTTAACCCATCGGGCAGAATCAGTATTCCCGATCGAATCCGACAAGACAACGAGCCCGTTGCTCAATGGGGTTAGAGATTTGGACTTCTACCAACGATAAAGGGACGCTCATTGGTCGCGTTACGGATCATACTTGTCCCTTCGTGCATTGGGACTCATTCTCGAATTTTGCCAGCAGTCTTAGTACGGCTAGTAATATAGGCCGTGGTTCAGTGGTTAGGGCGTTGGAGTTTTCACCAACAGATCGCGGGTTCGACCATCGGGGTCGCTATCACCTGGGGTTGGGTATGACTAGCTGATGACGGCTAATAAGGCGGAAAGGACTATTCCACTCTCCCTTGTTCACTCCCACCCGAGGTCGGACTCCAAACACCCACCGTGCTAACATATATTGCGGCGATAAAACACAACCGCACCACTAAGGACTTATTGGTAAAGAAGACAAATGATCGAGCACTGGAACGAAATGTATTTTTCCCTGAGCTTTAGAGCTCCTGCAGGAGCCCAACCTCAGAGGTGGAGAAACAGCAACAAATGGGGTAGCTACTTGGGGCGTGTGTACAACAACTAAAATTTTGAACGTGTAGAAAATCAATAATTTGTCTTCTTTACCGATAGACATACCTGGAATGCGAATATTCTCTCTCATTCGTGAAAATCTAGTTAATTATCACAGTTCTACGTTAATCATGGAACGTTTATAGTTAAGGTGAAGGGTTGGGAATATACGCTCTTCCGCCTGTATTACGGGAGGAGTTGCTACAGAAAATGAGTATACGTTTGCTGATTTCTGTAAGACGCTCTTATTCGTCTTGCAGACTGTGAGGAACGCGTTGGATCGGTACTGTCTTCTGCGACTACCTTCTGCTGCTCCCTTTCCGTCAATAGACAGCTTTAAAATTCAGAAGAATATTTGGCGAGCATACGTAGCGGAGGCGAATATACTGCCCAGCTTTATTGGGGACTGCATAGAGCTACGCATGCTCGCCACAGATATTCTTCTGAATTCTCTGATGGGAATTTTTGCAGCTTTAAAATTGTTGAACCTGTGTTACTTCGCCGAGGCAAACTCTTGGTATTTCTACCGGACACCCGACGTCCGATACGCGACTTCTTATGGCTGTTGTACATTTTTGCCACCTTAGGCTGCCTCACAGATGCTAACGGAGATTGAGGAGGCGGTGTTGGAGGAACAGGAGGAGAGAGCCTCGACCACGCCTCGAGAGATGGAGATCTATGACGACGATGACGACTCCACGGCCAGCAGTTCTTCAACCTCTTCCTCCTCCAGCTCACGCCCGTCATCCCGCTCTGAGGATTCCGATGAGGACGAGGATGACGATGACGGTGGCCAAGATGATGAAGACGACCGCGACGGCGGCCACCGCTCGCATCGAGAACTGGACCAGGAAGAACGATGGCTTCAGGTACATGGCACCTCTTTCAAAAATCGCCTGCGAATCGCGGCTGGGGCACAATTTTGTATCCTTTCTTTCTCCGCCGTCTTCGTTTCAGATAGCCAGAAGTTTTCAGGTTTTCGATTGACCAGAGACAGGCACAAGGGCGTCTACGTGTCCCATACACAAGCTGATCGCTTATGATAACCCGCCAAACTTTAATGTGGACAGCTCAGTTTTCACAGCATTAAGTAGCAACTATTGAGACCGGACTCAGC